CATGGCAGAGGGCCAGAGCAGTGCCAAGTCATTTGACTGCTCATCCAGCCAAAAGCAGTAAACGTCAGGAGGGTACTCGCTGTCTCACGCTAATCAGTCATCGTTCTGATTTAACGTTGCAGCATATAAAATAAAGCGCATCCACTTCTTAACAGCAAGAGAAGCAGGCAGGCTGTTAGCTGGCATGATTCATTCACCAAAAATGAAGGTAGAAGGCTTCGGCACTGGATATCCAGGTAACTCAAACGTTGCTACTTGCAATCAGCAGTTTACATTATGAAGTGCCAGCTAAATAACCCTGCTGCATTATATCAGCAGGGCTTATGCTGCTTCCAAATCTCAGAATCTCAGCTCAGAAGTATCTTTCTTCCAATAAAATCTAAATTTTGCTGATAAGGACTCTTTAAAATACCAAATGGATTATCTGAATGCTGTCAACAATTGTAACAATCTAAGAAGTCCTTTTTTTAAACTTCAGCACAAATATTACAAAAAAGAAAGTAAAAATCTCAGCTGTTCTCAGTGGACGTCATGAGACACATATCTTTCTCACAGATCTTATTTCAGTGTTGATGGAGTAAGCAGAATCAGATTTTTATTAAAATTTATCCTTGGCATCATTTCTGCCCACAACTTGTGTTCGTTATGTTCTCCTGCCCCCTATTCCTGCTTCTTTATCTGACCTTTCTACCAATTCATGCTCTGGAAACTTTGACCCTTCATTAGCCAGATTTTTCTGCTCGGGTAGTGGGTGTGCTGATCCTTCATGCACAGCCCAGGGCCTATTAGATTTGCGCATCTACTTGTCCCTTAAAAATGTAGGTTACTGTGGCGTTCAGGAGAGCCATAAAAATGGCAAGAAGAGAGTATCTTTGGTACAGGGCTCAGGGTCATGCAGCGGGATATGCTCTGCAGAATGATAGAGTTCTTTTTAACTGTCCAGTGTTAGCAGGTTCAGAATGAAATAAAGTACATTTTTATTTAGATACACCACAACCATATTAATAATGATTGCAGAATGATTTTCCATTCATGCAAGAATCAAATTACTTAGAGAAGCCTTTCTTTATTGTATTTACTGTAAGTGTTCATCAGCCGGCAGGAGAATAAATACATTTCTTGCATCATAAAATAGTCCTAGTTGCTGTAACTACATCAAAATAATTGTGCTTACTTTGTGAACGCATCACAACTCCGTTCAGTCTTCAGGCGCCTTTGCGGAGTTTGTGTGCGTGTGCCATGCTGCGTAGTCCGGCAGATGCACCTTCCTGCCGAAGGCTGCCTCTGCCCTGTCGCAGGCTGAGTCACGGCGGTGCGTTAGGGCCTTTCTGCACCTGATCACCAGCCGTACAAGGATTATCCCTGCCCGAAGGGATCTGCTGACTTCATCCGCTCAGCAGCTTTGCTGTGTTCTGGTGCTGGCGCCCTGTGAGCTCGGAGGGGCTCTGGCAGCTTGCAGACTCCTGCGGTGGTCCTCACCTGGGCCGGCCTCGTTTGGGATCTGAAACAATGCCTTTCAGAACGGTTAAGGGGGTCGCTCTGTGCGGATTGCTCATTGGGTTGGCCTGTGTGACAAGAACATGCGCTTTATTGTGCTTTATTTCTAACTGCTAAGTGACCCACTGCCAAATAGGAAACTTTGCATGTTGGAGACTGAAGAAATGACATTGTGAAATAATCCAGGGGACTTCACTCCTCGTGTTTGAGGTCACTTTATTAAAAAAATGAATCTTTTTTTTTTTAAGGTTACTCAACCGTGGTTTGCAAGAGGTAAGTAAGGGAGGTCTTGATTAATAAGGGGAAGGGGGGTTGAGGGGAGGATGTGAGATGAGCAGGTTTTATCTGCAACTGTGCTACCGCTTCCTTTGGTGGTGGTGGCTGAAGGGCTTGTACCTCTGACCTGTAGTACTTGGGCAAAAGGCATCAGGCCTTGCTTTGGTAACTTTGCAGATATATGAACACAGAAACCTCTTGGCACTGCTCCAGACTCATCTCCCTCCTAAAACTCTGGAGATTTATTCAGTGCAAGACTGTGCTCATGGCCTCAGCCTCGTTCCCTCTGAGTCCAAGTATGTTGGTGTAGCACGCTCTGAACACACCCGTGGGATCGTGCACTGCTTTGGGCACTCTGAAACCTGCAGTTGCTTTGGTTCAATAGCTGTTACTATTTTAAAGTAACACTTCACAGATTTTCAAAAAAAAAAAAAAAAAACAGAGTTTTGGAATTGTTTCAACTGAGCTATAACCCAGGTCTGGTTAATGGGCCTTTCCCTGCCTGTGATTAATCTTGGCAAATATTGGTCTCTACTGCTGCAAAACAGGTCGAGCAATTTGGCAGTCTGCAGGAGGCAGAACTGGTTCTGCTTCAACATGTACCAGCGAACACAACCTGCAAGGAGCACTGGAGGGAAAAAGCACGCGCTCACGTAACGAGCTTCTCTTTGGTTATGCTTGCCTGAGAAGTGGATGTGTTTCAGCCTGGGCTGGTACACTGTCTCCGATTTTTCCTTCATATCCAGGCCAGTGACTATAAAATTCATCCTTCCTTCCAGAGCTCTGTTCTATAATTATGATAATTTTTATCCACTTAAGCAAAAAGTGAATTAGATGGGGTTTTTTTTTCTAAATTAGCAGGTGTAGGGCAGGCAGCAGGAAAGCATGCCTTTAAAAAAAGGCAAAATGATACTTAATATGCTTAAAATGTATTAGTGCATGTGTGTGGGGAGACAGGCTATGACAAACTTTTTCTGGCTTCATTAGGGGTTTATTAGGCTGTTAGCTATCATGGTTTCCCAAATGCCTTTTCTGCCTACTGCAAACAAACTCAAATAGTGTTGCACCAAAATAACAGAAAGCGTGTATTATGTTGAGCAAGGCTGTGTATTTAAAAAGGTCCACACCGCTTCTGAACCGATATATTTAAATTGCTTCAGCTCCCTAGGTTTGGATGCGCTCTGGATTTATCTGCCGTGCAAATTATGCTGCTGCAGCTATACTGATATAATTAAAGTGGTAGAGCCTCCTAGTGCTCATGGAAGTTATAGAGTAGACACGTTCTTTTATTGGTACAGTAAGAGAATGGGAATAAGATTTACTAGTGAAACGCACCGTGCTATATGTCTGGCTGGCTGTGATAGGCTCTGTATTCTGTCAGACGGCGGTTGCTACGAAGAAAACTGTGTCAAAAGGAAAATCCTAGCTTTTACAGGCCTACAGTGAGATTTTTTATGTAGGTGCATTACTCCATCCTTTGCTTAGGAAGAAGTTACTTCATTATAAAGGTGCTCCAGTGCCTTTACAGCGGAGGGGTAAGGCTGAGGCATTTTGCAGCCACGCAGTCTGGGTGCTGCAGCCTGCGGCAAGCAGAGGGGAAGCCTCTCCTCTGCCTTTGATCTGTGGGGGGCTGAGACAGAGCGATTCTGCCAGAAGGCTGGAGGGGCTTTAAACTAATAGATTCATGCCTGTCTTGCCACCCACATCCCACCAAGGGGAGATTTTAAATAAGTTGGTATAGTCTTGGGTCAGTAGGCTCACATATTGAAAGTGATGTGCTGCACACAACCTGTCTGTACCCTTCGGTAGGCAAGCAACGCAAGCGCATGGATGGACTGCAAAGCCAGAAAAGTGACTGTGCAAACAAATGACCTCTCATAATGCAGTGATTTTGTTTTTTAACAAGAGGAAATTGGAATCAATGCTGTCAGGAGTAACAGCTGGAAAACTTAGCCCTCCAGGAGCATCAGGAATTCCTGCATTTCCATCAGAAAGACTTTTACTCCCACTCGAGATACAATAAATCATTACTCTAGAGATAGCTCACTTTCACCAAAATCAGAAAAAGATACCACAGAGATTTGGAGCCTCTGTCCTGGTTATCAGGAGATAATCCCACATTAACCTCTCAAGCCAGTGACACGACAAGAGCTGTATAGCCCCAATTCACAGAGGAAATAAGCAGGGGTAAGCCTAGCTCCTGCCTTTCATACCAATGTTGGTGCACAATGAACAAATGAGAGGTTTTTCAGGTCATTTTTTCTCTTTGGCAGTTTTTTTTTTCTCCTATCATAACCTTTGCAGTGGAATATCCTTTCAGGAGAGGTAGGGCATGGTCTTAAATTACGTACGTACGTACGTACGTGTGTGTGTGTGTGTCTGTCTGTCTGTCTCTGTCTGTCTGAGAAATTGGGACTTCAGCCCAAGCTGTACTAAGTTTCTGACTCTCTTTCCACTGAGTACAAACCTGAGTGCAAGACAGGAATGGAGACAGTCTCACTGCTTTCTCAAAGAAGATACCTACTTGAGGTAGACACTTCTGCCTTTGAGGGAAAGGGAAAAAGGACAGGAAAAAATAAGGCCAGCATTAGAGGCAAAATGTTTTTTATTAGCTTCTGATAGTTCAACCCTGCCTACTTAAGCTGCAGCTAGAACCGAAAAACATATCTTCATAAAAAGACTAGCATAATCCAAAACAGTCCGTAAAAGTCTTCCACATGTAATTACCTTTGTATTTAAATTTTTAATCTCAAAATGAACTTTTGGAGGCTTTATTTGCTAACAGCATCTTCACAGAGCTATTATCCAAGTTCTTTTCCTAAGTACAGATACAATGCAAACAAGCATCCTACAAAATAATCTATGGAAAAAGGTAGTGTGGGAGGGAAATTAAGACAGCGTAATAATCCACTAGCCAGCCACACAGGTTAAATGTAACACAACCATACTATCAGTGAAATAGTTTTAAATGAAAATAAATTAAGGTTACATCAAACTTCCTGCTTTACTTTTATTGTTTAAATCCTCAATATAGTACATACCACTGCATTATGGATCATGGCAAAGGCTTATCACCAGCATTTTAAAATTGCTATAGAAAAAATTCTGTGAAAATAAGACAAGACTGAGGATATTCCTTCACACAACTCTACGATGGCTACAGAAGTTCTGCTGAATCAGTTGTTCAGACCAGGGCCGTTTATTTTTAAAATCACTTTGGATTTCTGTAAGATCTTTGTTGCAAATCTGAACAGCCACGAAAATGGAAATGAATGAAAATGAGCAGTGATCCATATATTCTGACTGAGCAGAGCTGCGTTTCCCCTTTCATCGCTTAGCCAAGCTGCACACGTTTTGTTCTCCCTGATACCTGCACCTTGGCCATTCTGCAGAGCAGTTTTTTGGTAGCATTTTGACATTTTCTGAAAACCAAAATCAAGTTCTCTTAAGGCCCCAGAGTGACTATGTGAACAATGTTAACCTATGAACACAGGCTTGAAAGACTTTCTCCATGTGCTACTTTACCCCTCCTCATACATGATGCTTCAGAATAGCATTTGCAATTTTGGAAGCCAACTGCCTGTATACGTCGTCATAGTATATTGCTATTTTTCTAGAAAACATTAGTAAGCATCCCAGCTCACTATTACTACACCCTCCCCATTAACTACAACTGGATAAGAAGGACCTAAATGGTGCTTTACAGGACTTGCTCTACAGATTTAAAGTAGTCCACCAAGGAGGAAAGTAAACTCCCTCTATGGCCTTTGCAGGTTTGTAATATGTAATGGAAAAAACAAAAGGCTTAAATACATTAAAAGGTATTTAAAAGACATTTCTTTCAATTATCAGTCACTGATACTACAGTGAACCATCCTGCTGGACTCCTCTCATTATGCAAAACATAAGAAGGTAAGTGAACATTTCTGTGGAAATGCTATTTTCCTAATACTAAGCTCTTTGTTGACTGTGAATTTAGATCATCTGCAATTATTAGCCAAACCATTTAGAGAACAAAAATATTTAACACTTTAAAACAAGTACTCTAAAATTATGTTTTAGTTGTATCAAATCTTCAGTGTTAAACCTAAAAAGATCTCCACAAAATAATGGTTAAAAGAACAGTTTTTGCTCAGTTACTGCATGGGCAGCACAGACAAGCTGTACCTCTGGAGTTCGTTTCACAACAGTGCCTACTGTCCGTTATTTTCTGGATTTGTTGTGGTGGTTTCAGTGCCAACAGGTTGCACGTTGTCTGCAAGATTGTGTGCGTGCTCAAGGAACAAGTCTTTCAGTACACTCAGCTCCTTGGTCAGGAGCTTAATTTTTGCCTCTAAACGTTCGTTTTCTTCTTTGAGCTGGTTGACCCTCTGCAGCGTGTCTTGGGCTTTTTGCTTGCTTTTTAACCGGCTCTTTTTCACTGCCATGTTGTTTCGCTCTCTGCGCTGGCGATACTCATCACTGTTTCTATCCACCAAGGAATTCTTCTTCCCCTGCTTGCTCGGAGGCACAGCTTTGCCTCCACCGCCGGGACTCACAGGCACCAACTGGGGAACCTGCTGCAAACCACTGGTGTGCGCTTGGCTGTGAATCACGCTTACTCCGTTCGCATCTGTTGCGGTGTTCTGCTGGGATGTCTTGCTCATTTGGACAGGCTCTTCTTTAACACAGCAGAATTTACTAGGAGACTGAAAACTGTTAAGTTGCTAGAACGTGTTTCCAAAAAGTCTTCACATGGATTAAGGACGAGTTCAACCTAGCAGAAAAAAAAATGCTATTAAAGGTGCTGGGTTCAGCACCTTATGTCTGATACATCACTGGCTTTAGCATAAGGTACTGATGGTACAGCTGGCAGTAACACAGCATTACTATGCTGGAAATGTAAAAGTTGCCAACTACTGGGAGGTTTCAGAAGTCTCTGGAACGTATTTGGATTGGAAGGGACTGTTACTGGGTCATCTAGTCAAGCTGTTTGCATTGTTCACTGGATTTACTCAGTTATTCCAAAGCCATCCCTGATGGATGGGTGTCTAGCCTAGTCTTGAAAATCTCCAGTTTCACAACCTCTCTGTCTTGGCAACAGGTTTCACTGTCTCACTTTTCCTCCAGTTATATAATTTTCTTAATTTTTAGACTGAATTTTTCCTTCTGCAGCTTAAACCTATTAACAGCCTGACTCTTGACCAACAGGAATACTTGATCTTTGTCCTCTTCAGACTATTCCTCTGGGTGTATGCACAGACTCGGTCTCTTTGGTCTCTCTTTCTGGAGAATGTGCTCAGACCATCCACCTTTCCTCCTACATCTTACAGCATCTTCCAGTGCTTTTACCTGCTCTCTTCTAAGATTGTTTCACTGGGTTTGGGGTTTTTGAAGATGATGTCCAGACTCATGACAGTGCTTTAAGGTCTCACTAGTACTGAGTGGAAAAACTAATTCATCAAAGCTAATGTAATTAATTGGACAAAAATTTATTTTCCATGTTAAATTTCAAAGTTAATTAATATTTATTCTTTTTGAGCTTATATATTTAACTCATGATATCAAAACATGATGGAGTGGCAGAAAAAGGATTCATATTAGTGCTGCTGCATGCATGCTGTGAAGGCTGTGACAGGTGACATTAAAGGGACCCCTTCAACCACAAATGAGGTAGAATAAGCTAAGCCTGTAACGCTACTGTAGCGAGCAGGCGGGACAGGAAAGTGGGGTTACAGCACCCAGAGAAGCACTACACTGGAAGGAGAAGAGGCCGTTGCCACCTTGGGAACGAACGGAGGGGTCACAGCTGGCTCGCCTACAAGCTACCTTCCCTGCTGTAGCTTTCAGGCTCTCACCCGGATCAGTCCGCTCAGCGGGCGAACAGGACTGCCGAGCAGGACTCCCTCTCACCTGACTCGCGTTCTCCCGGTGCTGAGGGTCAGCCTGCTCCTGCCCCACTGGCGGTACAGGGAGGGCTCCCCCACAGCTGCTGCCGGGGCACAGCCCTGCCAAGGCTGACGGCTGCTCCCCTTGTCCTCCCTTCTCACGGGATGCGACATCCTAAATGTCTGGGAGATAAGGTTGGGAGAGAAGAGGGGACCAAGCAAGAGGGTTCTCCTTAGCTCCCGAAATGCCTACCTATAGCACCAGTGAAAAGCACTTACAGAAAGGACAAACGAGCGTTGATTGTCTTGTTAGGTTAAAGAAAAGTATCTAACTGGCATTAAATGATCCTAATCTGGAAAGATCCGATTGCATTACAAAGGTGCAGCTCCATGCTCTGTCACACGTGTACATGTTATTTTATGACTTGTATTCCTCAACTTTCTTGACCCTCCTCCCACATGAGAGGCTCTGTCAGGAAAAAAGCAATCAAAGTTAGCGATGGGCAACGCTAATTGCCCAGCATCAGAGGGGTCCACCCGACAGCTTACAGGTTACATCAGTAACACTGCAAGAGATGGATTATTCTAGTCCTGCGCCTAGTTCATGAATCAGTATGGTGAGATGTTTGTAAACAAGCTGCTGTGTGTCACTGGTTATTTTATACTTGGGACTCATCAACCGTACTTGCTTGTTTGTTTTTCTCAGTGGACTGAGTTGCCACTTTATCTTCTGCAGTGTTATCATTAACAAGGTTAAAATTTTACTATGTAGGTCAACTGCAAATTTTCTTTCATAATCTGAATGATGCAGCTGCAGAGCTGCAGTTCAGCAAAATGCACAGAAAAGCCTAGTAAGTTTGGGCTGAATGTTATTCAGAATTAACACTTCTGTCACTGAGAAGTCTTCTCACTTCAACCAAGTGAGAAAGACATGAGTATACCCGCCCCACTCCTAACAAGAAATCTTTTCATTAGGAGTAATATTTCAGGGCAGAAAGAGCCCAGCGAGCCTCTCACCTATACAGCTAAAGCAATATGTGTACTTGCTTAACCCTTGTAGTTAATATTTTCCTAATTTCACCTCTTAAAGAAACTTTTGCAAACCGTGCTTACATCTTAGATTCTGACTGAAGAAGCAATCCAGATCATCAGCTAAATTGAATATACAGCTAACAAGACATCCGTGCACACAAATGCCAGATCTGCAGGACCAGTCATAGCAGCTGCATGTGTGATTGCACGGACATTTTTAAAGTCGGGATGCAACTATTTGCTCTTCTGGCTTTGTCTCAGTTACATTTCTAAATATAGCATTTCTGTAGCCCTCAAATAGTATATAATAGCTCTGTTAGATCATCTCTGGCTATGACAACCAAACTTTTTCACTAATTTTTGGGATGTTTTCAAAGTTGGACAGAAGACTTTCCTATGCCCTCTGTTTCAACAAATTACAGTCCTTGTTAACTTCATCTGGACAGCCCAGTTAGGTAGTATGTGAGAAGTACCATTTTCACTAACTGCTTTTTTGTGCTTCATGAGATACTACAGAGGAAAGGGTGGCTTTTGCACCTGAAGGCACTCCACCCAAAGTTTAACGAGTTTCTTCACATCACCAGGTTCCACGTGTTATTTCTCTCTATGCTATCAAAACCATTTAATATTGCTTAAATATTTAAGATCTCTACCAAATTCCCATAATTCAAAGGAAAAGGATTTGTTCCATTAAACTAAATTTTAATGGAATACTTGAAATAAGTTTAGTTGGGCAGTATGTGGTTCTTAGCAGAGATGATGAACCAAGGCCTCTCACCTCTCAGGTAAACGTTCTGGCCATGAAGCACAGGTTATTCTGGAATAGATCTTCCTCAACTCCTTCCTACTGCAGCAGATCCATCCTGTATTAAATAGCTATTCCTTGAGGGAGACAGGTTCCTGTCTAGCCTGGTGATCGGAACACTTACCTGAGAGAGATGATACCTGGATGCCAGTCCTGCTCCAACTAATATTTGTACAAAGCAAGTAGCCCTAACTGTACTGCCTCCCAGATAACCCAAGAGCAATAACTGGCAATGCTGGAAACTACTCTTTTCCCCTGGGGTTGTTTGCAGGCTGGATCTATATTGCAAGTTTTCAGTTACACGACAGAACAACAGCATGGAAGGATATCCTCGATAACAACAGCTACGCTGGGGCATTCCGGGAATACTGCAAGGAGGTTTAAAGGCTGCAGCTAGGAGACATAAGGAAGAGGTTCTGAGGAAGCTGAGGTAAAGGACACGATAATTGGGGAAGAGCACGAGGAGGCAGCTGGGTCTCAGGTATCCTGCCACAGACACGCAGCTGCTCTTCTCCTCTCCAGGAACAGGTTAGTTTGCTGTGACTGGGCAATAGCCCCAGCATAGCAGGGGGCAGCTCCTTGGAGAGCCGGCTCAAGTTTCCTAGCATCTTGTTCCCATAAAGCAGCTGGTTAGCTTGAGCTCAGTGACAGCCCTAGGCTAGTTCCACCCAGCACATGTTAGCATTTCCAGTGGCCAGTTAAAACTGCTTTCTTCTCTCCTTGGGCCACCAATTGGCCCCCCAGGACACAAGCTGGCCACCCACTACAGCATAAAGCTGGTTTCTCAGAGGTGTCCTCTCAGGAAAATTTCTTACAGTCTGAAAGCGCTCCTCAGGGACTACAGAGACTCCCAAGCAAATCAAGACCTTTATTATCTTTGCTTTTCCAAAAGGGGGTGGGGGGGAGAAAGAAATTTAAACTTCCAAGTTTTTGTTTTGGGAGGGGAAAAAAGATGTTTTAATTTGTTAATTAAACCAGTTTGTTTGTTTTTTTTTTTTACTTAGCAGCAAAAAATATAAAGTGCTTCTCTCTGCTTCTTTTGCGACTCTGTTGACTCTGATCATTAGTCAGGATGACTTTACTGTACAAATTCGATCAGCTGTCTTGTCTATCCAGTGCAAAATCAGTCCAAATCTGAACAGCAATACGTGGCCTCCCTTGTCATTGACTTCAGTAGGAATACCCCAGTAGGATCTGACTCTAAATCCAGATGACCCTGTATAAAGAACAACAGCGTAAAACGCCCGGCGTGCGTTTGCTGAGCAGCGGAAAGGCCCAGCTCTGCACGGCCTCCTGCAACCTCTCGGCTCCCGGGCAAGCTAGCCAGAGCTGACGATAGCTCTCGCCTTCTGGACGGTAGGCGACGCTTCTTCAGAAGAGGGAGCCGAAATCTGTTATGCTGCCATAACAGGCAACGTTGCTTTCCTGTATTTTTCTCCCAACCTCCACTTTTTCCATGTACAAGAGAAATGCACTCCAGCATGTTTAAAAATATTTTGAAAAGCATCTAAAATATGCATGTCAATCACAGTCTAGCAAAACCAATGATGCAAGCCTCGCAAACCGTCTTGGATGCCAGGAGGCAAAACTACAGAGGTGTCAACTCGATTTTGATGAAAAACAATGCAGTTAACTATTTTTAAAGATGAGCTAATTCCTTGCCTCTTAAACTTTTTCAAAACGTACGTTTTTACACTTTCTGAGCAGGTGCTATAACCAGCAGGACATAACCTTGTGTTAAGTTGTCCGACTGACTGGCAAGGTGTTTCCTAGCAGGTGTTGCAACAAAATACTTAAAAGTCAAGGCCTGTGTTTTCTGAAAGCTGCGTATGGGGCTATAAAAGCTCATCTGGGAGCCAGAAAGATATTTTAAAGGTACTGAAAAACTCCCCTGAGGAGCTAAAAGAGAAAAACAGGAGTTGTCAGGAGCGCTCTCTCTTAGGGCAGCG